TGAGAGTTCGGAGACAGTATATTATTGTTAATGTAAAAGGCAAGGTGCAGGAAATGCTGAATGACTAAAGAAATTGAGGCTCTGATCAAGAAACAGGCATGTGTCAGGTACAGGCAGCTGGGATTGAGTGAATCCCTGGAGGATTATAAGGGCAGGAGTATACTTAACAGGGAAATCAGGAGGGCAAAAGGGGGGCATGAGATATCTTTGGCAAGTAGGGTTAAAGACAATCCAAAGCATTTCTACAAATAAATCAGGGGAAAAAAACGAGTAACGAGGGATAGAATAGGGCCACTTAAAGATCGACAAGGCTATCTATGTGTGGAACCACAGCAGATGGGTGAGATACTTAATGAACATTTTGCATCAGTATTTAAAGCTAGAGAACTTGGGGAAATAAATAGTGATATCTTGAAAAGTGTCTATATTTACAGAAGAGGAGGTGCTGGACATCTTAACACAAATAGGTGGATAAATCCCTGGGGCCTGATCAGGTGTACCCGAGATCTTTGTGGGAAGCTAGGGAAGAGAGTGCTGGGCCACAAGTGAGGTGCTAGAAGACTGAAGGTTGGCAAATGTGGTCCTATTATTTAGAAAGGCGGTAAGGAAAAGCCAGGGAAGTATAGACAGGTGAACCTGATGTCAGTGGTCAGTAAGTTGTTGGAGGGGATTCTGGGGACAGGATTTATATGCATTTGGAAAGGCATTATGCATTAGGGATAGCCAACATGGTTTTGTGCATGGGAAATTGTGTCTGACTAAAAAGTTTTTTTTAAAGAAATGACAAAGATGAAGGCAGAGCGGTAGACGTCCATATGGACGTCAGCAAGGCATTCAACAAAGTTCCACATGATAGACTGGTTAGCAAGATTAGATCACTTGGAATCAAGGGAGAGCTAACCATTTGGATACAAAGTTGGCTTGAGGGTAGGAGATAGAGGATGGTGGTGGAGCGTTGTTTTTCGGACTGGAGGCCTGTGACCAGCAGCAAGCTGCAAGTATCGGTGCTGGGTCCACTTTTTGTTTTGTCATTTATATAAATGATATGGATGTGGACATAGGAGGTAGAGTTTGCTGATTACACCGAAATTGGTGGTGTAGCACCAGGAAGATGGTAAAGGGTTCTTTTGGTGCAGTGGTAATGTCTTCCTCTGAGCTAGAGGGCCGAGTACAAGTTCCTAGTATTCCAGGGGTGTGTAATCTTATCCCTGAACATGTTAACAAGAAAATAAATCTAGAACACAGAGGTATAGATTGAGTTCAGCTAGGACCCTTTCGCACCCTGACCTCATTCACAGCCTCAATCCAAATACAGTCAAATGAGCTGACTTCAGAAATGAGGTCAGAGTTCCTGCCCTTGATGTCAAGGAAGCAGAGGAGTCCTTGTTAAACTGGAGTCAAGTGGAATTAGGAAAAAAGAAACATACCCAGTTTAAAGGAAGATGGTTGCAGTAGTTGGAGGTCAATCATCTCAGCCCCAGGACAGAGGGTTGCATTCCTGGCCCCAAACACCTTCAGCTGCTTCACTAATGACAGTCCCTCCAATATACATTTATGTGCAGATATTTATGGATGACTGGAGAGTTTACCTTTTGCAACAAGACCAGTTTAACATTCCAGCTTGGGCTGATAACTGGCCAGAAATAATTGTGCCATATAGCTGCCAGGCAATGACCATCACCATCAAGGAAAAATTTAACTATGCCTGTTTCACATTCAACAATATTATCTTTGAACAGCCCACCATTAACATCAAAGCTACAGTTGACCAGAAACTTAACTGGACTAGTCACCTAAATGCTTAAGTTACAAGAGTAATTCCGAGTAATTCATCATGTCACTCCTCAAAGTGATGCAATTAGGAGTGTGATGGTACTTGCCTGAACGAGTACACGCCAACACACAGCTCAAAACCATCTACTACCTGACCTAACAAGTGACACCTGACCTATGGTGGGTATTGGACTTGCAAAGCAAGTTTGAAAAATTAAAGCCAAAGTATCAACTATCTCAGGAGTCAATTCTTTTAAGATCCTAAAATGAAGTCCATTGGGATCCAGGGACTTCAGTGCTACTTTGAAATGGGAATGTAATTTTCTTTTCAAGGTTTTCCTCCCTTTCCATTTCCAGATTTACACCTTCTTCTGGGAGTTATTTATATTTAGAATGAAGACTGACAAATACCTGCTCAAGTTATCTGACATCTCCTTATTTTCTATTATTAATTCCCCAAAATCCATCTGTATTTAAGCAACATTTAAGTCTTTTTCCATTTAAAATATCTATAGAAACTCCTGGTTTTGTACTTCTAGCCAGCTTTCCCTTATACTTGTAATTTTTCCCCTCAAACTTTTCTCTTAATATTATCTAATCTTCTGACCTGCCACCCATCTTTGTACAATTGTTTTTTTTGCTTGGGGCTTTTTTTCTTACTATGAATAGTGGATCCTCCTTTTAGAATGGTTTTCTTGTTGGTATACATGTGTGTTCTTAAATATCTCCTTAATGTCTGCCACTGCATTTCTACTGAAGACTCCAATAACCAATTTGGAATGCAATTCCAAGAATGGGTGTGAGAAAACACATTGTTATCTTCTTGCAATACAAATGAAACTGATACTGTGTGTCAATGTCCAAGTCATCACACCATTGATTGGAGGATGGGAAACATTAAGGTCACCTGACAAAATTCAGGGTATAATAAAGGAAAATTTATTAACTCTCACATACGCTGAATCTTCCTCGAGGTTGTTCTCAAAGGAGACAGATCGTGACCAGAAAACAGATCCTGTCTATAAACTTCAGTGAACGAAAACGGGACCGTCAGGCCTTCAATGTTTCAAGATTCCACCTTGGAAGAATAAATTAAATCCAAAAATTCCACTCAACTGCAGGTTACCTGTTTCATCATTACCTTTTCACCATGCTTCACTAGGGTAGGGTGCTGGAAATCAGGCCCCCCTATTCTGAGATTCCTAACAAAAGGTAAAGATTTTTATAAAAAGTAAGAGAAATTTTGCAACTTATTGTCTTTTAGACACAGGTTTGACAAAATCCATGGACTAAGTTTCTGTACTTAAAGAATTATTTGATTCTAACGATGGGTAAACAATTGGGTAAACAATTATAAACAGTTAACATCAGTTAGAACTTGAACCCTGTCATTAGATTCCCCCCAACCATCCATATTAAAAAACTGGTGTAATGGGTGGAGGAAGAAAAACTAAGAAGGCAGCTTGATGGTGTCCATCCACAGGATTCAGAAATTGTCCTTTCTGCTGCCAGGTCTTGCTGTTTGTGATCGCTCTTCTCCAGGTACTTGCATTTGCTTGCCAAAGTTAGATCTCCTGATTCACAACATACAAAGTCTGTCACTTATTGATTAAAAGTTTTAGCTTACAGTAACTGGCAAGGCTAAATAAACCATTTTAAACATTTAGGTTTTAAAACTGCAGATACAGACAGTACCTTTCTTTCAAGAGGTCTGAAAGGCTCTGACTCTCTCACCCATTAGTCATTTGGTTACCTGATAGCCAGTCATGATTGTTCGCAGGCAGAAGGCCTGTGTCATTGACAGCTGGTTGTAACTCTAGACAATCTGCTACTTGATGCCATCTGAAACACTGTTCATACACAACCCGGTTACAAATCATCTTCAGTCTTTTCCCATTTCCGTTCACAATCAAAAAATACTTACATTTTGTGTGCCAGAGTAGGCCTCACATTTGCAATGGTCTTCATCCTGCCTGTCCCTTTTTCTTTCTTTCCAGGTGTTTTTCTGCAACTGTCTACTGTTTTGTTTTGGTTTTAGAGGAGAAGCAAAAATATTAGCTATCTCATCCTCTGGTTTTAGGACAGGAAGACAAGCTTAGAAAAAAATCCTCACTGGTGGCAGGATGCATCTTAGAAAGGAGAGCAAGTATATCTCATCAATTGTTCCCTTCCACCCCTCACCATTTCAACATTCTATGATCATCCTCATTACTTGTAACAATCAATTCCTATGACTATGCAAATTCTGAACTGCCCACTTAGTCATTTTATTCCCTGCTTTACAATGCTGTATGCATGCTCACTTGCTCCCACCAAAGTTGGAAGTTGACACACCAGGAGACCTCATGTTTTCAATCCTTTTTTCCCTCCCATTTCCTTCCTTTTGTTTAGAGCAAACAAACCGTGTCTGTATTGTAACTGTGCTTGGACACCTAATCTGATTACTTAAAACTTACTCAGGATTGTGGCTCTTATACATTCTCGCAACAGCTCTAAATACGAGTGTAAAAACCACGCTAAACAGAACCATAGAAAGGTTGCAACACAGGAAGAGACCCTTCCGGCCAGAGTCTATGGCAGCTGAAAAAAAAAATTAGCAACATATTCTAATCCCAGTTCCCTACTTGGTCTGTAGCCTTGCAGGTTAATGCACTTGAGATTATATCCAGTTCTTTTCACATCCTTTAAGGGTTTCTGCAAGCACTAAAGTGCAAATTCCAGACAGTCTCACCTCTTCTGTTTGGGATTATTTTCCCATTTTAACAGCAAGCATGTGGAATACAAGAGCTGAACTTCTCTGACCTAATTGCTTTGCCAATCAAGAAACTAATCTAGGAGACATTAGGTTCCTGAGGACAACTCATCTTTACCATTTACAGACACGTGAAAATTGGAGTGCAAAGATTTTACTTGCAATTGAAAAAAGTCAACAGGGAATGCAATATGGCTTTGGTCATCGAGTATTACTATTTCTCTTGTAGCTCTGGTACTTAAAGTTTCCCTGAGCCCTCTTAATTTTCACCTGCAGAAAAGATATACTATGAGGAAGCTGTGATACTGGAAGTCCACATTTGGGAGGCTGAGTGAGGAACATCAAGAATTTCTGGCTACATGAAAACACTCATACAATTTTTTTCTTGGCCCAAATATACAAAAAAAAAGTCATAAGCATTCAAACCACTTTTATGCAAAGACATAATCACAAGTCCAGATGGGAAAAATGACCATTTTAAAGTGTTAAATCTGCAATTTTTATTTTAAAAAAAATCAAATGCCATATTTACCACAGGCTAAATATTAATGCAAATTTAGCTGCATTTTTAAAGTAATATTAATTGAATGTAACAGAATTTTTTTCAAAACTACAGCTTAGGTAAATCAAACAATTCCAATAGTTGTAAGCAGTCTAACCCAAGTAAAATGCATTCAGTTTCAGAGATATTTACTCCTTTCCACTTAAATCAGCTTTCATTTATTTGGGTAACAGTTCACTTTTACTACATTAACATTCAGTACACACTTAGTCAGCACTCGCAACAGAAGGTGACCTTGAGACTGATCGAGAACGTGAGTGAGAACGAGATCTTGGTCGCTCCAATGAAGCAGGAGATTTGGATGGTGAAGGTGAACGAGCTTTTTGTTCCCTGACAGGGCCACGAGATCTACTGCGAGAACGGGATTTGCTGCGGCTTCTACTCTTGGACCTACTGTAGGATTTGCGGCTTCTGGAACGAGATCGACTACGAGATCTGGAAAACGTACGGCTACGCGAACGGGATCTGCTGCGAGATCTAAACATCAAGGGGAAATTAAAAAATGCTCATGTTACAATGTTTCTCATCTGTCACCACAAAAACTGATTTATATTAGTGTTTGGACGCCTGAATTGATTTCAAAAGTGACGCCAGCTCTTTACTTCTGTCAGTTGTGGGTAGGCGACAGCCTAGTGGTATTATTGCTAGACTATTAATCTAGAGACCCAGGTGACGTTCTGATGACCTGAGTTCAAATCCCGCCGTGGCAGATGGTGGAATTTGAATTCAATAAAAATCTGGAATTAAGAGTCTAATGATGACCATAAACCCAATGCCGATTGTCAGGAAAAACCTATCTGGTTCACTAATGTCCTTTAGGGAAGGAAATCTGCCACACTTATCTGATCTAGCATACATGTGACTCCAGACCTACAGCAATGTGCTTGACTCTTAACTGCTCTCTGGGCAGTTAGGAATAGGCAATAAATGCTAGACAATCATCAGTCAGACAATCCTTCAATTGGACACACTTGAAAGCCTGGCCATCTTCCTTCAAAGAGGATGCTTCAAGAATTTTCTACTCTTGAAAAATTCACATCCTTAAATTTGTACCTTACCACATTAAAACAAGTCAACTGAAACTATATAGTTTTGATTTGTAATTAATGGAAGCTGTGAATGATGGTACATGCCACTTACCTACGTTTAGGTTCCTCAATCAGTCTGATCTTTCTTCCATTTATCTCTGCACCAGAGAGTTTATCAACAGCATTCTTCAAATCACTGTATGAGGCAAATTCAACAACCCTACAAGGAAAAATATTTAAAATTTTACTTTTGCCAATTTGAACACATCATTCATCTATTTCATATTTCAATTAAGCAGTTGAATATGATGATACAGTAACACTCCATTTCTATTGTACAGCTGGCATCCTGTTGCAGGAAGTAAACCACACACATTTCCAAATATAATACAGTCGTGTCAAAAAGAGTAGGATAAACTGTTTAGACTTCACATTATTTCCAAGGACAGACAAAAAGAAAAATCTCAGAAGATATTACACACAAACTATAATGGTTTCAAAAAAATAATTCAGGAGCTAAGATTTGGATACAACAACAATTCCAAGGCACATCATAGCTTTATCAGAAAAAAAAAGCTCCAGACAAGCTAACTAAATGTTTATTTAAAGTGTGGGTTGTAAGGCAAGTCTCAGGAGCTGCTATGTAGATGAGGTTAAGTTCAAATCATAGCATTTAGATGGCCAATGACAATGGAGGGTGCACAAGCAGCTACAATTGGAGAAAGAGAACGTTCTGGAAGATTAAATGGCTGTAACATTTTAGCAGACTAAAAGATTTTGTGCAGAGAGTCAGACGAGGTGGTGGAATATACAAAGGTGGATGTCATCAGCATGCACGTAGAACTCTGTGCCTTCAGATAATGCTCCAGCAACAGCATTTAGATGAGATTACATCACAATTTGCTGTCAGATGTACAGAAGGTTATCAAGGGCTGTAAATCCTGGTGCTAAGTTTGAAACTATTTAGGCCTGATGTATAAAGATTAATTTATTGTGCCAAGTACAAATCATCAAATTCTTCCCAAACAAAAACAGAAGTTACTGGAAAAAACTCAAATGATCTGGCAGCATCTGTGAAGAGAAAAACTTAACATTTTGAAACTAGTGATCTTTCTTCAAAATTTCAGTTTTTGTTTCAGATTTTCAGCACATACAGTTCTTTGTTTTATTCTTCCCATTTGACTATTAAGTTTTTGCTAACACATCAACTCATTAATTCATTCCTTTAACTCACCCTTCATTCATTTTGTGCCTGTGAGCATCTGCAAATGTAACTTCACCAGCCTGTCTCATGAAATCTTTCAGATCCTATGTGAAATCACATTGGTTATATAAAACAAGCCATGTGCACAATTACACAGTCATTTTCAACGAGAAAGTTACTACAAAAGAACCAAAGCTAATTTCATCAAAATTTATTACCTTCCTGTACAATTCCCTAGGCTAGTCAACCAGGCAAATGCAAGAAGAACTTGCAGAGGTACCACCACGACTGACGACCCGATAGTGCTCTTCAGCACCCACTCGACGTGAGCCCTCCCGGACATCACCCATCCTAAAAGGTGGGGTTTGACGGTGCCATGGGAACAGGAATTGCTAAATCTTGTGTGGTTACCAATGGCTCCTCACACTTCAAAATCGAGCTTCCAAACAAACCTACTAGCGAATTTCTTTCATTCAATCAAGGACCTCTCATTTTAGAGTCAGCTCTCAACTCGACTTTAGGACAACTCGTTACCAGCATTTTCAGAGGCGCAGGAACGAACCCCGGCACATAAGCTAGCGCCCACCAATGTTGGTCAGACCAGCATAATACAGATCACCAACTGATTGAAACGTAGGACTGGCAAATTCAACTAGGCCCACCAAGAGACCAAGCCAGAGCGATTAGGAAAACGTCACTCGTCACAAGGCCAACGATACGAGAGGCTGGTAAATAAAGGTTTTAATATTTGGTTAAAGTTTGCACATAATTCAAACAAACCAAACAAAAATGTCACATTTAAGGTTTTCAAATAAGTAAGCAATTTAGACAAATTACATCATCTGAATGTTAACACTCCTAAAGTTGCAATGAAAGTTTTATAAATGGACAAATGAAAATTTAGTTCAGTATCGTGCACCTTTTATCGCCTTTTGCTACTGTCCATCCTTCCCTAGGACAGTCTTGAAAGAGGCAAAGAATCTGGGTATGTCGTGAGCAATTGGCTCAACAACCCTTGCCAATATTTTCAAATAAAATAAATCACAATTTTAAAAGGGCAAGTGTGTGCCATATGGTGTCAAATTTTACGATTTCAATTTTATTGATAGACTACCAAACATCACTTAGGAAAGAAGAGAAATCATAACACTGATTTCTGACCAACAGCAACCTCTGTGAGAAACACGAATGCTGGCAAAACAGTGTCAAGATGGGGCTTGACTGCAATAAACACCAAGAAGAATTGTTTGCCAATGGTCACCATCCAGCCTTACATAAAAGTAATTGCAACTTGGGACACGATTCTGGCGAATCAGTGCTTTCCAGACAATCATACCCAGCACAAGATACTGCCTTCAGAACAGTTCTACTGGCAAAATTTCAAACAAGTCTAGTCATGAGATTTTTGTTAGTTTTCCTGATTACACTGCTGGAAAGACAATAACACAGATTGGCATCTTGTGCTTGTATGATCAGTTATAGCACCATGAAACACATCATTTTATGGTATTCCTCTTTCTAGAAGAGGAACGCATTGTTCATCTGTCACTCTGTTTACAATCCATTATTAATATCCCCTGTCTCACACAGCTTCTGTGTTTATCATCACTTTATATAACAAGTTCCACAAAATTCTAACAGGGCAAGACACATTTCAAGTTGCAATAATTGGTACAGTGATGCTAACTTCTCACAACTAGCAATACAAAACTGCAGGATTTGAGCTCCATTTTAATTAAAGTTGACAGTCCCCATTATGCAGGTCCTCACTGATAGTATGTAGAGCCATACCCATCCACTTATTGCTGTGAAATCTCAGCTAACCTTGGAAGTACTTTATGTATTTCACTACAATTCAGCTCAAGAGGTATTACAGCAACTGAATTAAGTGATTCACTGTTATGTGCAATGTACCTGCCAACTAACTCTTGAAGACAAATTCTCAACAATCAATCTGTTCTCTGTACGAATTGGAGGTCCATTTCTGAAAAAAACAAATTTGCATTAACTGAGATTCACAACTATGTTAGAGTAATATCATGTTAACTTCTGTTGGAATTTACTCTTTATAATGCAAACAAAGTCATGGATTTTTTGCCACATTCTGTATCAAAGAATGTTCAATATGACAATCAGGTACCAATTTACTCGTATGTACATTACAACCTCAAAAAATTAATGCAATGTGAATTGTGGGTATCTGCAGATACAGTCAATTAGATTATGCACCTGTCAACACGTAGAAACATAGCAGGCTGGGAGGGTGATGTATAGTGACACTTGTTTAAACATTTTGAGGGTTGAAGCAAAACCTATAAGTAGGCATTTTAAGAGGTCGGTATTGGGACCCTTACATTTTTGGACATATATTAATGGCGCATGGGGACAACTGCAAAATTTGCAGACGATGCAAAACTCAGAGGTGTTTTCTTCCACTGCGTACAGGACAGTGTAAAACACCAAAAGGACATAGGCAAAGTTTGTGGATTGGACGAATTGGTAGCAGATGAAGTGCAACATGGAAAAGCAAGGAGATGCATTTCGGTAAGATGAGCATGGCTAAAGACAAAATACCGAGGTGAAACACTTGAGGTTCAGGAGCAGAGTGACCTGGGTGTACATATGCACAATTACTGAACGAGGCAGGACAGGTGGAGGGAGCAGTTAATAAAGCATACTTTATATTTTTTACTAGAGCATAGAATACAAAAGCAAGGTGTTTATACTGAACATACAGAAGCCATATTGTTAGATCGTGTGTTACGTACAGTTCTGAGCAGCACATGATAGGAAGGATGTAAATGCTTTGGAAAAAGCCCAGAAGTGATTTTTGACAAAAACAGTTCCAGAGATAGGAAACGTCAGTTAATAAGACTGTTCTCCTTGGAGAGATGGCAAAGGGGAGATATGTGAGAGAGAAAAAATTTCCCCACTCATAAAAGGATAAAAGAGCAAAAAGGTACAGATTTGAAGTGATTTGCAAATGAGAGATAACTTTCACATGACTGTTTTGAGGCCAGAATGCAATGCTAGAAAATGTCGTAGTCAATTGAGGCATTCAAGGGGGCATTGGATGATTATTTGAATAGAACAATGCATAATGGTATGAGGAAAAATCAGAATAATAACAAAAACATAATACTCAGATAGCAGAATTGACACGATAGACTGAATGGCCTCCCTTCTGTGCTGTAACAATTCAGTAATTAATTTGCATAGGAAGTTACATAACATTTCGATGAGAAAGGTATTATTTGAAAGAAGCTATTTATTGTCCACTAGTTCAAAGGTCAATTTCATTCTATCCTTGGCATTCCTCCACTGGTCTTGTATGCCACCGTCCAGATTATTATAGTTGATCCCAAATGCCTCCCCTACTGGCCCGGGTAAGATGGCTGGTCTTTACAGGAGACTTCAGTATTGTCTGTGCAGGATCATACTAAGCCTCTTCCAATTATGTCATATGTACATCCAACTATTGCTAAAACATCAAGATTCAAAATTTGGTTCCAATTTTCTCCTCCCTTATAAAAATCAATATTGAGGCCAAATGGGACCACGTAAGATTAGCACAGGTTGGACAGCAAACCCGATATCTCGCCTGCCCACAAAGCTCGGAAACATTTACATTTCTGTTTTTCTGAGCCAGCAGTGTAGCCACTGTTAAACTGTCTCACCTTCCATCACTCCGTGGGCGGCGTGGGCTAAAGCGACCTTGATAGCGTCCTCCACGACCCCCTCTAGGCCGTGCTCTGGCATGTTCAACTGTAACTCTGTAGAAACATAACACACACTTAATGAAACATCCATTTTATTTGAAATTAGCTACAAAGCAGCCTATTTGACTTTGTCTTACCTTTCACTACACAATTCTTTTCCATCCAATTCATAAACTGCATCATCTGCATCCCTGTGATCTTCAAACTCCTAAGAGTAGATACAATGGTAACAAAATACAGATAATAATTTATACAGCACTTGATTTGTTCCTCCAAAGATTGTGTTCTGAATATTTTATTGGTTTAAGTTACAATGTTCAAATCTGTTGAACTGAAAAGCAACATTACCACAAATCCAAATCCATTCTTCAAGTCAATTTCCTTTATTCGTCCATATCCTTTAAAGAATTTTTCCACATCCCTTTCTCTGGCATGAGGGCTCAGTCTACCAATGAACACACGTGAGCTCATTTTTTCTGGTGGGATTCCACAGAAGATAAAATCAGAAACAAGAAGGCATTCTGTTACAGTGACTTTAAAACACTGATTATGGAACTCAAATTTTATACACATTCAGTAGACAAATCAAAACAGATTTTTGGGGCATTGCTATTATGAACTGAATGGTCTGCCACTTTACGACAATACTGGTATTCTCCTATATAATGAGAAGCAAGTTTGCACAGATTTGTTGCCTTTAAGAGATGTGCTCTGTCCAGTTTCTCTTGGAACGGGATGTTGTCACAATGGTGCTGAAATGTCTCCTACAGCCAGTCAGTTTGAGAACAGCTTCGTGCTCCCCCTGGGCATTTTTCAGTGAGGCAAAAGAATCATTAGTGCGCGGGATCAGCTTCTCACACCCAAAAAATGGATTTTGGATTTGCTTCAGTTAGTTGCTGGGCTTTGCTGGTTGCGGGAGCGAGAAACTTCAGTATGCCTGCTGCTAGTGTGAAGTCTTAGGTAGAGGGGCTTCCTCTTAAAAATAATCAAAAGGGCAGATTGTACCTTTTGGTTTTCTTTCTACTAGACTGGAGAAAGAGACGTCATGAGACTAACAACTGGGCTGCTGAACTGCCTTTACCAAGGGTGTGTTTATGGGATGGTGCCTATATTGGAACAGTTGATAAAAAGAGAATGAACTGCAGATGCTGTAAATCAGGAGCAAAAACAGAAGTTGCTGGAAAAGCTCAGCAGGTCTGGCAGCACCTGTGAAGAAGAGAATCAGAGTTAATGTTTCGGGTCCAGTGACCCTTCCTCTGTTCTGAGGAAG